TAGTGGCAGGGACATTAAAAAGCTTATGGGACCGGGCTGGCCCACTTCAATTTGAACTTGAATCTAGTACAGGTCCTTATGGGACCGGGCTGGCCCTCATCCAGGATTAGGTTTGGCTCTTCAGAAAAAGTAGAGCTCAAGTAAAGCTGCCGTGGCGTCTGTGCTTTTGAAGTAGAGGGATAAATTTCAAATTTTGGTGATGGGATGCAAATGGCCATGTGCGGTTCATGCAATATTTCTTTATAATAATACAGTCGTGTTCACATTGCTTACGAGTCATTTTCATTAATAACGTGCCAGAATATTTCTTTTTTTTGGTACAAAACTCGTTTTATTTTAATTTGTGGACACTTTTTCTTTCCTAAAACTTAAAAATTGCTCTATATTGTTTTATGTGGGACCATCTATTTAATAAGATTACGACACATGTATGACATCTCACATCGCCTAGGGGAGTGGATCCTGTAAGTTTTATATGTATATTCTTATCTCTACTAGCACGAGACATTTTGAGAGCTCACTGGTTTCGGGTTCCATCGGAACTCCAAAGTTAAGCAAGTTGGGAGCGAGAACATTCCCAAGATGGGTGACTCACTAGGAAGTTCTCGTGTGAGTTCCCAGAAACAAAACTGTGAGGGCGTGGTTGGGGCCTAAAGCAGACAATATCGTGTTATGGCGGAGTCAAGCCCCGAATGTCGTGCTAGGTAGAGATGAGAATATACATATCAGGCTTCCAGGATCCATTCCCTTGGACGATGTGGGATGTCACAATCCACCCCCCTTAGGAGCCCGACATCCTCATCGGCACACATCCAGCCATGATTGGCTCTAATACCAAATTGTCACATCCTGACCCAGGCTCCACCACATCCCGGGCTTGACTCCGCCGTAGCACGATATTGTCCACTTTGGGCCCCGACCACGCCTTCACGGTTTTGTTTATGAGAACTCACACGAGAACTTTCCAGTGGGTCACTCATCTTGGGAATGCTCTCGCCCCCAATTCGCTTAACTTTGGAGTTTTGATGGAACCCGAAGCTAGTGAGCTATCAAAAGGCCTCGTGCTAGGTAGAGTTGGGAATATACATATAAGGCTTACAGATCCACTCCCCTAGGCGATGTGGGATGTCACACATGTGCCAATGAATTTGATTATAAATCTTTACTATGTGTTAACATTTAACAATTAGAAAATATTAAATTTAAAAGAAGAAATTAAGAATTGAATTTTTTTTAAATTTTTTGGGTTGATGTGCTTGAGTTGCAAATATGGAAAAAAAAAAGAATTGATTAGCTTGATGCACTTAAATCAAAATCTCATAACGGAATTAACAGAATTCTGATAATATAGAGCGAATTTTGAGTTTTATTGTAAAATGACAAATTTTGAATTTCAAGAATAAAATGAAATCAAAATCAAGTTATAAAAGGCAAAGTCAAGTGAATTTGAATTTCAAAGAGTAAACTGACAAATTTCAAGTTATAGAAGACAAAGTAAAGTTAAAATCGAATTCTAAATAATGTACCCAAAAATAAGCCTTTATATAATTCAAGTTGTGATTGTGGTTTGTGAAGTGTTGAACGACTTTTCCTGGTCAAGTCGTTGTGAAGAATGAAGCTTTATAAAATGGAAAACCGACAAAGCAAGCCAGAGAAAATGTCAAGGGTGAACATAACCAGCCAGGAAGGTCAAGATTGTCTTTCCAAACCAAAAACAAAGAAAATACAATCAAATTCTACGACCAACGTAGCATAATCAAACATTGTTTTCCCCAAAATTAAAAAAACCAAAAAAATTGATATCCCACGCACTATATATACAACATCAAGAAAACTCAAATCACAAAACAAACTCACAGCTCAAAAGTTTCAAACTTTAAAGATCCAAACAGCCATTTGTTTTCTTAGAAGGTCTGGTATCTGCACTGAGAAGAGCTTTTGAAGTGTAGAATACTGGGAGTGTTCTTTGCTTGATATATACTTTTTGATCCCTTATTAAGATAATCAGAAGGGAAAGAAGAGATGGAGGGTGCAAAGAGTGCTATGATCCACGGTGGGAGTTTCTCTGGCCGTCCGATCCCCAAGAGGGGTCAGGTGAAGGTGGCTATTGTGGGGGTTCTGCTTCACTTTTTCTCCTCCATTTTCTCTGATAGCAGGCGGCTGTGAATCCGGTCATGCTTATCACTTCTCTTAGCTGATCAGATAACATGATGATAAATCAAGCAGTCGAGATTTTTTTTGAAAGTGTTTTACTTTTTAGATGAATGACTGAGGGAAGGGTAAAAAGTTTGAGCTCTTTTCCTGCAACAAAATGATTTTCCGGCCGGCCAATTCCGAAGAGGGGTCAGGTGAAGATGGCGATCGTGGTGGGATTAACCAACTCTGTGGCTTCCATCTTCAATCCTCAAGGTTCATCAATACACAGGCAAGCAGCCAAATAACTCGTATAGGTACCCAGACGAATATCGAGACCGAGTAATTAGGTCAATAAGTTTTGAGAATTTGAACACATTGTTAATTTGTTCATGTAATGGATTTTAATCTTTGTACATATATTGTAAAATTTGGTTCATATATTGAAATAAAAATCTGCATTCCTTCGGTCAAATCATTTGTTTGGTACAGCACTTTCTCAAAACCTAACAGAAGCAAAGCTAAAACTAAAACTGGAACACGACGAGCAGGAATGCTTTCAAAGAAAAGAATTTCGATGGTTATTAGGAACGACTCTCTACTTTTTCAGATTTCCCAGTAACTCATATTTGCATATATAGCAAGTTTTACTTAAAAATTAACAGATAATTTGCATTTAGTGTACACTGTTCAGTGTAGTAAATCTCCCAATTTGTAAGAAATTTGTAACTCAAATGATACATAACGTTTAACCTGGTATTTGAGGTTCTATGCTCAAATCCGCCATCCCACAATATTGCTTCTATACATAAAACAAAAGTTCTGCTTATTAGGCCTTGAATTATGGATTTTAATAGAGCTAGTACAATGAGAGCTTTTTATGATTTGTCATCCGTTGAAGTATATTGTAATTGTTGATTTATGGTAGACGGTGTGTGATTTATAATAGATTTATGTATCCTAAAGCTCAAATTGATGATAATCAAAATTCATCCACTCACAAACGATTGGCTGTATATAAATCCAAAATCCAATGTCTAGGAATAGATTAGATTGAATAATTCGCTAAATTCAATCCTATCATAAGTTCATATGATCCAAATTGTTATTATACACTCCAAATCTTTTACACCCAAAATCTTTTGTGACCTCTTTGTGGTCTATCTCAGAATTTGACACCGTCCACCCAAAATCCTCTGTATAAACGTTGTTGATCCAGAAGCCCAACTGTAAAACGTAAAACCCAGGTGATGTGTGATTAACGGCGTTTAAAACATAAGGTTTGGGGTTGTACATATGTCAAACTTTAAGATAAGTCACAGATAGATCATATAACATTTGGGGTAAAAGATTTAAACTCGTTTATGCACAAGGGTATATGATATAATATGTAAGATATGGGTAGATTACGATATGAAGAAAACCAAACAACCACCAACGCACCTCTTACAAATATCAAAACAATCTCACTTCCTAGATCGAATCTATGCCTCTTTCAACACAATCTGACATGCTTAAAACACTTGTTCCTACAGATACTAGACGAACGTATATATGAACCAAGTCCTTTCAGTATAAGATTCAGTGCATGCATCGTACCATACCATGATTTGCTCTCCTAATAGTTAGTAATAACTTTGTTTATGGCCGTACTGTAGGGTTTCATGTTCTCCACCGAGTTCATATAGAGAACAATTTTTATGGCACAAGTGCACTGTTATTGTAATGTCTGTATTAATAATACAATGTGACTTAAAAAAATATGATACACGACATTATATAGCTAACTCAAAAGGCTACGATACTAATATACTTGTGACATGAAAGTCATTCTCAAATATTGACTATATACTCCTATTTTCCGAAGCGCGCTGGTTATTATATTAAAATGGGCAACTCCAAGCCAACAAGACTATACGTGTTGCAGGGTTGGGAGAGGGAAACGTCCATTGTACGCAACCTTACCTTTATTTTGTAAAAATGTTGTTTTCACAACATGAATCCGTGACATTTCGGTCACAAAATAGCAATTTTTTTGTTGTGTTAAGGCTCGTCTTGAACTGATTATTACATATATCGGAAAGCAATTTAAAATCAAAATAGAGGGATTGCAAGATCTTTGTTTATGAAAGGCTATTTGATATTTTTTAACCCTTGAACTAATAAATAATGAAAGTTTTAACGAAAAACCCACGGTACTGTTCACTTTAACGAAAAATCACATTTTTACACTAAAAAAGTCAATCTTGATACTATTCACTTTACTTTTTATATTTTCCTTATCATTAAAACTCAAAGTTTTCAAATCTTTTTATTAGTTTTCTATAAATAATTGCAAAGGAGTCCTACACGAACGCAACCAAGTTTCACTTTTGGAAGAGAATATACATATAACTTTTCTTAGTGGGAGCTAGCACAGTGGTCATGTGATTCATGCGGACTCTAACGCTGTTTTCGCTTTGATTAACTCAAACTTTACTGCTTTGATCGTATAATTAATATTCAAATTCTTTGCTTACCAGGTTGTCGTGTTCATATTTACTGGCTTCTTTTGTTGGTTTTCCATTTGATGAATTGGTGGCCACGGAACTCAACAGCTGGCAGGGTCAATGTCGCCAACAACTAAAATCAATTAGCCGTAAAGAAACAATGACGCAGCACAAGCTAACAAGGAATACATCGTATCCCATTGAAGAACAAAGTTTTATGAAATCAGTCAGGGATGGGAGAAAACAGAAATTTTTGTACTAAATAATACTTGAATGATGATTACAATACCAGCCATAAGGCTTAAATATACCTAACTCGATTATTAGGACTATTTGGAGAGTCGTAGAGAATGTAAAAGAAGTAAATTGGACGCAAAATGAAAAGTTTGATTTTTATTACAAACTTTAAAATGCAATTTTGGAAGTTTAAACGATCTCAGATAGCTAAAATCAATCGTACATCTTAGCAAAACGGTGCATTTGAATTGGAACGTCGCGCTATTTTAGGGATGGTATTATGCGTTCAAAACGGAGTTCGGACGTCAAATTTGTAAATGCTCACTGTCTCTTTCCCTCGCTCCATTTCGTCCTTATTCCACTTGACCATCTGTTCTACATCAAATAAATTATAAAAAGTATTCATAAACCCAAAGATCAGTTTGAGATTGTTGGACTTTATAGATGATTATTTTAAACCTCACAAAAGTATGAACTTCTTCTATATTTTGATCTTATCAGCCTCGCATTGGTTTTATTAATAGGAGAAAATTGCCTATGTGGCAATCGTATACAACATCTATTTCTGCATGGATAAGCAACTACATCACAAAAATATGAGATACAATGAATAAACCAAAAAAACTTCGATATATCGAAGCCTTCGAAGCTTCTGTATGGCCAGTACAAACGTTGCCCAAATCATATAGTCATATCGATGTTTCTTTCCTGGTTTAGAATTACTGTTTCATGGTGCTCAGTTCTAACTTCTAGAAAAACATTTGTACTTCAGAAAAAAGAATTAGCAAAGCTGTACTTCTTCTATTCACTTTGTTTATAATCCAAATGATTAGACCCAAATTTCTTCCTTTCCAAACATAATCTGACATAATTAAAATATAATTAAGGTGAAATACAAAGAATCAAGGTGCTCCCCTATCAGATTCAGTGAATGGTATTAGCAGTTTACGTTTAATTAATTAATTGTATTACTGGCAGGGACATTATGTTTAAACAGCTTTTAATCACTAGGCCTTCATTGACAAAAAAAAAAAAAGAGGTTTGAGTTGGGGGAAGGGATCGTCTCTAGATCATTTTCTCCTAATTCATCAAGTTCAAAGATTTGAACTGTTGAAATTTGATCAAACGGCTACAACGAGGGTCCATTTTAAAAGTTATAATAACTTTAACAGTTTGATCAAATTTCAATGGTCTGAATTCTTGAATTTGATGAATTAGAAGGAAATGATCCGGTGAGGATCCCTTTCCTGAGTTAGTGGTACTGGGTCCTGCGGGACCGGGCGGGCCCGGATCCAGGATTAGCTTTGGCTCTTCAGAAAAGGTAGAGCTAAATACAAATGGCCATGTGATTTTTATGCATTATTTCTTGTTCATTTTTCTTTGTGGTTGTTGAAATTTTATAATAATATATAATCGTGTTCACATTACCTAATCAATCATTTTCTCTATTATTAAATTTTACAATAATATAAAAATTCTTGTATATAAAAATCAAACTCCTATTAATAGCCGTAAAATACATTATCACTCGCACCTTAGATCATCTCGAATATGCAACATTAGTTAAGAGACTCAAATGACATATTTAGTAGTTCCGAGTGTGACATTTCTCCATTATTATTCTTTATGCATATAAGAAAAGCCAATTATTTTCCTATTTATACAAAATTTTAAAAATGAATCAATTAGTGACTTTCTTACATCAGTTTACCTTTTTTTTTTTAAACCAAAGAAATTCACAAACGTTAAGAATTAAACACAAACATTCCGTTTAAAGTATTGGCTTAAATTCATGTTCAACAATCGAACCTGTGGGGGTTCGTTATGTGTAATTTATGTTGAATGACTTTTCCTGGTCAAGTCGTTGTGAAGAATGAAGAGATAAGCTATTTGATTTATGAATTCAAGTAGTACAGAGAGAATAAAAGATTTTATAAAATGTAAAACCGACAAAGCAAGCCAGTGAAGCTGTGAAGTGTGAACACGACAAGGTCAAGATTGTCTTTCCCGAACCAAAAAATAAAATAAAATACAGTCAAATTCTACGGCCATAAAAAAAAAAAGTATAATAAAAATATTAATTTCCCCAAATTGAAAAAAAAAAAAAAAAAAATGATGTCCTTGGCACTATATAAACCCAGAAGGAGAACCTCAAATCACAAAACAAATTCACAGCTCAAAAGTTTCAAGCCTTCAAGATCCAAACATCCATTTCTTCTCTCTTGCGTAGTAGAAAGACTGATCTCCGCATCGAGAAGAGCTTTTAAAGTGTAGAATATTCGAATATTAAGATAATCAGAAGGGAAAGAAGAGATGGAGGGTGCAAGGAATGCTATGATCAACGGTGGGAGTTTCTCCGGCCGTCTGATCCCCAAGAGGGGTCAGGTGAAGGTGGCTATTGTGGGGGTTCTGCGTCACTCTTTCTCATCCATTTTCTCTGCCAGCAGCCGCCGTGGCGGCGGGGGCTGTGAATCCGGCGATGCTCATCACTTCTCTTGACTGGTCAGATCAGATCATGTGATGGTCAATCAACCAGTCCAGATTTTTGGTGGAAGAGTTGTACTTTTTAGATGAATGTGTGACAGGGAAGGGCAAGGTTTTTTTAGCTCTTTTCTTGCAACAAAAGGCTGTAAAAAATTTTGTAGTCAAAACATTATGATGAGTGGAATATGTTTTAATACTCTTGGTTTTTTTTTTCATTTTTCAATCCGGCCGTTACAATATGAGCATCCAACTTAGAACTAATTGACGATGAATACAAATGCTCGAGATCTTTTTTAGTATCAATGCTACAAAGTGAATGTGAGATACTTTGAACATCGACAATGTTTTGCAACAAAATATTGAGAGATCGAGTTTAACTTGAACCAAATATTTCACCCAATTCAACAAATTGAGGGATCAAGGTCTTAAGCCTCTAACATATATAGCCTTAATATTCGGAAAAAGGCGAGACGAGGAGTGTGAAAATCACTAGCCTATAACATATGGCAATGTGTGGTGGTGTGACTTGTAGCAAACCTATATTCTTGAGCTATCTCTGCCAAAGACAAGAGTAGTAGCCCAGTTCACTGCAACATAGAACCTGTTCCTCCAGCTGACAACACGCGTCAGATAAGCGAGCGCCAAATTAACCAGCTGAGAAATCCGGCAAGGGATATGCCCTTTGCATCCTGCAAAATATTAATCAACAGGTTAAGGAAAATGCTTGGTAGAAAAGCACTTTGTAAGTGCTCGGCGGAAAAGCACATTGCCCTTCAGCATAAAGGCAAAGAAAATCTACCTTAGACTGGCGCAGATCAACCAAAGCCTTATAGCCTCCAACTGTTGCCATGCTTCCTAGGTGCTTGTGTGGATGCTCGCTCACACAACATATCCTTCTCAGTTGTGCGCGCAGATGCTCCTGATGGCGACCTTCTGAATCCATGTCGAGCAGTCCTAGCAATCCTTTCGAATGCCATGTTCAGACTGAGTACTTCCCCCGAAGCAAGAGTGGCAAGTACTCTTTGAACCTTCTAAAGAATACCAAAATGGTGTGTGCTCAACCTGTTGAAACTTGGAATTGAACCAAAAGTAGTGAGCTACGAAAATCGCTACTACCATATGAGAAACAATTGAAGGCAGAAATATTTATAGGTAAGCTGTAACTATCACCCCAAACAGATGACGAGGTGAAGACAACAGGCACGACAATTAGAGCACCACTCCAAACAGATTATTAGCATATGACAGCAATTCGTGTCGAAAATACTACTTGGCTAGAAAACATAAACCAGTTGTATTTAGCCATCAGCTGATGGGGGAAACAAAGAGAAAGGCCCTTGTAAATTTAGGAGGAGTGTAAGATCATAAAAAGCAGTAGTATAATTCTATTCACTGCGTATAGACATTAACATTTAACTAGCACACCCAATACAGATCACACACACACAAACAGGCCCGCGCTTGATGTCCTGTGTTCAGTCCCCCTCTGTCAATATTCCATACATCCAGATTCAATTAAAAAGCTCCAGGACATTTAACAGAATTTTTAACGAAATGATCAAAATGATGGATGGTAAAATGATAGATGATGGACAATCTCATGGACCACTTCTATTGATTTGAAATCTCAAGGACCAAAGTGATGTGTTATGCAAATCTCAATAATCATTTTAGCTAAAAAAAACCTAATAATTAATATTCAAATTCTTTGCTTACCAGGTTGTCGTATTCATATTTGCCGCCGGCTTCTTTTGTTGGTTTTCATTTGATGAATGGGTGGCTACGGAAATCAACAGCTGGCAGGGTCAAGGTCGCCAGTAACAAAAACAATGAGCCGTAAAGAAATACTGACGCAACACAAGCCAACAAAGAATACATCGTATCCCATTGAAAAACAAAATTTTATGAAATCAATTAGAGTTGGAGAAAACAGAAATTTTTTATTAAAAAAATTCTTGAATGATGATTATAATACCAGCCATAAGGTTTAAATATACTTAACTCGATTATTAGCACTATTTGGAGAGTAGTAGAAAATGTAAAAGAAGTAAATTGACGTAAAATGAAAAGTCTGATTTCTATTAAAAACTTTAAAATGCGATTTTGAAAGTTTAAATGATATCAGATAGCTAAAATCAATTGTACATCATAGCAAAACGGTGGCATTTGAACTAGAACATCGCTCTCTTTTGGGGATGGAATTATGCGTCCGAAACGGAGTTTGGACGTCAAATCTGTAAATGCTCATTGTGTCTGTTTGTCTTCCCTTGTCCCATTTCGTTTTTATTCCACTCGACCATCTATTCTACATCAAATAAAATGTAAAAAGTATTCATAAACCCAAAGATTAATTTTTGTTAATTGTTCATGAAGTGTTGTGCCCGTGGCACTTTAAGTTGAAGGAAAATTGGAAGCCAACAAATTGGTTTTTGACTCGAGACCTATAGTTCGAGTGAAAAAAGGTTTGGTGGATGAGAAAATCTTCGGTAACAGTTTTGAGATTGTTAGACTTTGTAGATTATCATTTTAAACCTCACAAAAGTATGAGCCTCTTATATATTTTGATCTTATCAGCCTCGCATTGGGTTTATTAATGAGAGAAAATTACCTTAGCTGGCAATCGTATACAACATCTATTTCTGTATGAATAAACCACTACGTCCCAAATATATGAGATACAATAAACCAAAAAAACTTCGATATATCGAAGCTTTCTGTATGGCCAGTTCAAACATTGCCCAAATCAAATAGTCATATCGATGTTTCTTTCCTGGTTTAGAATTACTGTTTCATGGTGCTCAGTTCTAACTACTAGAAAAACATTTGTACTTTAGAAAAAAGAAATCTCTTCCTTTCCAAACATAATCTGACATAATTAAAATATAATTAAGGTGAAATACAAAGAATCAAGGTATTCCCCCTCACTATCAGATTCTGTGAATGGTCTTAGCAGTTTACGTTTAATTAATTATATTAGTACCATTTAGTATTACGGTCTAATAGTATTATTCTTCTCCTGTAAGTGAAATGTCTTAGGTTCGATTATGGCCAAAGGCAAATTTGAACCACATTATTGCTAGCTTATTGTGAGGTTGTGCCCATCTCTCCCTCCCCTTAATGTAGATAATATCGTTTGTTAAAAAAAAATAATTATATTAGTGGCAGGGACATTATGTTTAAACAGCTTTTAATCACTAGGCCTTCATTGACCAAAAAAAAAAAAAAAGAGGTTTGAGTTAGGGGAAAGGAATCCTCTCCGGATCCCTTTCTCCTAATCCATCAAGTTCGGGGATTCAGACTGTTAAAATTTAATCTAATGTCTACAAATAAGGGCTAAGTTATAATAATTTTACCAATTAAATCAAATTTCAACGGTCTGAATTCTTGAACTTGATGAATTAGGAGGAAGATGAGAGGATTCCTTTCCTAAGTTGGGTGGTATTGGGTCCTGCAAGACCGGGCGGGCCCACTTGAATTTGAATATAGTACATGCCCTTATGGGACCGGGCTGGCCCGGATCTAGGTTTTGCTTTGGCTCTTCAGAAAAGGTAGAGGCTTAGAGCTAAAGACAAATGGCCATGTGATTTTTATGCATTATTTCTTTTTCATTTTTCTTTATAGCTGTTCAATTTTATAATAATATATAATCGTGTTCACATTATCTAACCAGCCATTTTCTCTATTATTAAATTTTACAATAATATAAAATTCTTGAATATAGAAATCAAACTCACATAAATAGTTGTAAAATACATTACCACTCAGAACTTCGATCATCTTGAATACGCAAAAATAGTTAAGAGACTCAAATGACATATATAGTAGTTCCGAATGTGACATTTCTCCATTATTATTCTTTATACATGAGAAAAGCCAAGTATTTTCCTATTTATACAATTTTTAAAAAATAAATCAACTTGTGACCTTCTTACGTTAATTTACTGTTTTTTAGAACCAAATAAATTCACAAACGTCAAGAATTAAACTCAAAAAGTTCATTTAAAGTAATGGCTTAAATTCATGTTCATAATTAAACCTGTGGTGGTTCGTTATGTATAATTTATGTTGGACTTTTCCTGGTCAAGTCGTTGGGAAGAATGAACTCAATGAAGGGATAAACTATTTGATTTATGAATTCAAGGAGCAGAGGGAGAATAAAAGATTTTATAAAATGTAAAACCGACAAAGCAAGCCAGTGAAATTGTGAAGTGTGAACACGACAAGGTCAAGATTGTCTTTCTCAAACCAAAAAATAAAATAAAACACAGTCAAATTCTACGACCATACAAAAAAAAAAAGTATAATAAAAATATTAATTTTCCCAAATTTAAAAAAAAAAAAATTGATGTCCTTGGCATTATATAAACCCAAGCAAGAGAACCCAAATCTCAAAACAAATTCACAGCTCAAAAGTTTCAAGCTTTCAAGATCCAAACATCCATTTCTTCTCTCTGGCGTAGTAGAAAGACTGATCTCCGCATCGAGAAGAGCTTTCGAAGTGTAGAATATTCGAAAATTAAGATAATCAGAAGGGAAAGAAGAGATGGAGGGTGCAAGGAATGCTATGATCAACGGTGGGAGTTTCTCCGGCCGTTTGATCCCCAAGAGGGGTCAGGTGAAGGTGGCTATTGTGGGGGTTCTGCGCCACTCTTTCTCATCCATTTTCTCTGCCAGCAGCCGCCGTGGCGGCGGCGGCGGCTGTGAATCCGGCAATGCTCATCACTTCTCTTAACTGGTCAGATCAGATCATGTGTTGGACAATCAACCAACCAGGCCAGATTTTTGGTGGAAGAGTTTTGCTTTTTAGATGAATGTGTGACAGGGAAGGGTAAGGTTTTTTTAGCTCTTTTCTTGCAACAAAAGGCTGTAAAAATTTTGTAGTTAAAACATTATGATGAGCGGAATATGTTTTAATACTCTTGTTTTTTTTTTTGGTCCCTTTTTAATCCGGCCGTTACAATATGAGCATTTAACTTAGAACTAATTGACGATGAATACAAATGCTCGAGATCTTTTTTAGTATCAATGCTAAAAAGTGGACGCGAGATACTTTGAACATCGACAATGTTTTGCAACAAAATATTGGAAGATCGAGTTTACTTGAACCAAATATTTCACCCAATTCAACAAATTGAGGGATCAAGGTCTTAAGCCTCTAACATACGTAGCCTTAATATTCAGAAAAAGGTGAAACGAGTAGCGTGAAAATCACTAGCCTATAACATATGGCAATGTGTGTGGTGTGACTTGTAGCATCAACCTATATTCTTGAGTTGTCTCTGCCAAAGACAAGAGTAGTAGCCCAGTTCACTGCAACATAGAACCTGTTCCTCCAGCTGACAACACGCGTCAGATAAGCGGAGCGCCAAATTATCCAGCTGAGAAATCCGGCAAGGGATATGCCCTTTGCATCCTGCAAAATTTTTTAATCAACAGGTTAAGGAAAATGCTTGGTAGAAAGGTACTTTGAAAGTGCTCGGCGGAAAAGCACATTGCCCTTCAGCATAAAGGCAAAGAAAATCTACCTTAGACTGGCGCAGATCAACCAAAGCCTTATAGCCTCCAACTGTTGCCATGCTTCCTAGGTGCTTGTACACAAATTGCTCCCCGAGAGGAATGTCTTTCGCGCTGAAGGCCTTCCCGGCATCCTGCTTCCCAATCCTGTTAAACAACTCTACCAGATACTTTCCTTCCCTTTCTGCCACCTATTTGAAAAAAAGTGAACTAGGTTAGTTCGAAGGTGGCTTCACGTTTGCTCATTTGCTCTTTCTGCGTCGATCTATCAGTAAGTTCAAAAGTCCGAATTCGGTTGAAAGATTTTACTATAAATAGTCACTTATAAGGAATGTGTAGGAAGTATGACAGGCTTGAACAGCAATGTGTAATTTCTAGAGCAAACTAAAAGTTAACCTGAGCTAAAGCCGGAAGGACTGGCCTCCCCGCCTCCTCGAGAAAACCGGCACAATCTCCTAGTGCAAACACATCTTCCACTGAAGGAACCCGCATCCACCCATCGACACCAATCCTGTGTCACTCAATAAAAGAATATCTTAGATCCTTGCTCCATTGAACATAAAAAAGAAACCAACCGAAAAAAAGCAAAGAAATGCTGGTGGATATACCTTCCGCCCGGGGACTTTGGAAGATCAAGTTTTTTCACAAACTCTGAGGGACCAACGCCGGTAGACCAGACCAAAAGGCCGTATGGAACATCAGTGCCATCGTTGAGAACTATCTTCTTCGGATGCACTTCTTTCACAACGCCTCGCATAAGGCGAACGCCAACCTGGTGAAAAGGTCCACATTTCAAATTCATCCGAAAAATCAACAAGAAGTGGCCTCCAGAATTGGAAAGCAGACCAAACTTACCTTGGTCAAGTGATTTGTTGCGTATTGCCTTAACCCAACATCGAACGATGACAAAATCTCATTCGCCTGTCACCAAAAAAAAAAAAAAAAAAAAAAAACAAGAGAAAAAGATCATTGGTTTCAAAATTTATCTCCGCAAGAAGCCAATCCATAAATATATGTGAGAATTACGAATGAGTACCTCAATGAGAGTGACTTTGATGTAATCCTTAACGTGACTATACCGTTCTTGTACATCTTTCATGATGAAATCGCTCAATTCGCCGCTGAACTCCACCCCTGTAGGGCCACCTCCAATAACAACACAATGCAGGACGCGTTTCCTTTCTTCCTCCGATATGCCTGCAAAGTAAAATGCATAAGATGTTAGTGTTAAGAACTGATTCTTGGCAATTGTCCTCACTCAAGTCTTCGAATATTTGTATACTCCGAGACACATACAACACGCACCTGGATGTTCAGAAAGCATGAGGTTCAAGAGAAGCTTCTTCCTAATCTCTTGGGCATGATTCACTTCGCGGAGGAAAAATGCATGTTCCTTCACACCCTTGATGCCAAACGTCAGGGGTTCAGCTCCGGCAGCTATGACGAGTTTGTCATACGCAACTTTGAACCTATAAGGTTCACGAGACAAACCACCATTGCTAATTGTCTCGCAGTAAACCTAGAAGAAAGGAGAAGATTAACTTTTCTACTCATATGACTTAAACAATGCTGCACTAGTCAGTGTGCCATATGTTATGATAACTGAACAAACTATACAAATATTTTCCAAATTCGAACTAATCCTATTGATAACTATTAATTCACTCACCTCATGTTTGTCAGTGTCAAGGCCAACGCAGGATGCCATGTAAAAGTATGAACTGGGACTCGTTGCCAATGCAGATTGTATACGACTAACAGGTTCAGCTACCGAGCGAAATTCCAGGGTACCAACGCAAGTTGAAGCAAGCAAAGGAGTGAAGACCATGTGATTTCTCGGCGATATGCAAACAACATCATAAACCTTGGTGTCTAGTCCTTTGAGGAATCGACATGCAGCCCAGCCAGTGCCAAGGACCACCACTCTTGGCTTTTCACTCGGTCTGGTAGCTTCTAGTCCCGGATACTTGGGGTCATTACACTCGGAATCAGACTCCTCAACAATCCTTTCCGCAGAAGGGAATTGATAATTCGGGGTTATGCTTATTCCCCTGCTCCAGAAATTATTGTGATTCACCTTCGAAATGCTGGAGAGGTACGAAAGATTGTTGTTTCTCGTCTCTCTTTCGAGTGAAGGTACGGAGCAATATTTGCGTGTGGATGCTCGCTCACACAACATATCCTTCTCAGTTGTGCGCGCAGATGCTCCTGATGGTGACCTTCTGAATCCATGTCGAGCAGTCCTAGCAATCCTTTCGAATGCCATGTTCAGATTGAGTACTTCCCCCCGAAGCAAGAGTGGTAAGTACTCTTTGGATCTCCTAAAGGATGCCAAAATGGTGCGTGCTCAACCTGTTGAAATTGAGCCAAAGGAAGTGAGCTACAAAAATCGCTACCACTATATAACAATTGAAGGCAGAAATATTTATAGGTAAGCTGAACTGTCGCTCCAAACAGATGACGAGGTGAAGACAACAAGCAGGACAATTAGAGCACCACTCCAAACAGATTATTAGCATATGACAGCAATTCGTGTCGAAAATACTACTTGGCTAGAAAACATAAACCAGTTGTATTTAGCCATCAGCTGATGGGGGAAACAAAGAGAAAGGCTCTTGTAAATTTAGGAGGAGTGAAAGACCATAAAAAGCAGTAGTATAATTCTATGCATTGCGTATAGACATTAACATTTAACTAGCACACAAAACACAGATCACACACACAAGCACACCCGCGCTTGATGTCCTGTGTTCGACTGCCCCTCTCTCAATATCGCTTGTATCAAACATTAAAAAACAACCCGGATGAATCCATACAGCCAGATTCATGAAATTTTCAAAAATTCAATAATTTGGCTTAAAAAATTGTATGGCATCAAAGCAACAAAGCTATATAATTCTCTGCCAAAGATCAACACCAAAGGCACAAAACAAAAACGAGCCGAAAGCGAAAAAATAGAGGACCAGAAATCAAACTCAAATCCAACAGCAACCCATCGGCGTTGTGAAGCAGAAATTGAAGCTAAAGAATATTTACAGTAAATTTGGAGCGATGAAATCAATGAAGGTTGCTTGCTTTGGAATATCCAAGAATCTTGGAGTAGCTTCTTAGGACAAAAAAATCAAAAGGGTTTTCGGTGTCCGTTTATATAAAGCTGGTGGGAGATCACAAAACCTAAGAACTGATCTGGAAAGTAAAAAGTATGGGAAATCAAGAGAAAGTTTGAAGGGTACCGACTTGCGACGCAAGGAAGGTTGTTGGGATTCGATATGTAAATATTATTAAACATTAGGCAGTAAAAGAATGACAAAAGTCCATGGTTGGCATTTATATTTCACTCTGGGAAATCGAAAAGTGGAAACTGGAAAGGAAAAACTGCAGAGGGAAAGGAAGAGGAAGAGAGTGGTAGACAGTACGACGAGCGTATGTAATACGTTTTGGTGTCGTTTTGTTCAGTGTGTCCCACTTTCATGAACCATTTTCTCCAAGCTGTATGCGCGTGAGTGTTATGCCCTAAGCCCTGGTTTTTAAGTGAGAGTGGAGACAAAGAATGGCGTCCGGTCAAGATTTGAGGTAGGTAGGGCGTGATTGAGTACAGTACAACTGTCTTGCCTCCTACAATTTCGGGGCGTCCTTTTGACTTTCCTTTTCTAATTTTTATGGGTCTCAGAAAATGGCCCTTCCCCTAAAGGCCCACTACTTGTACCCAAAAACCATAACTCAAATTGGGCCTATAACTAGCCCAATCCAAGTATTTTGATTGCTTTTATGTGGCGGAAATCCCTCGAAAATAAGTTTTGCGATAAATTTTGGAGGATAAAAGTTAAGAAGATTCTCTCAAAAATTGGACTTTCTGCTATCTCATGTGTTTTGCATAGTTTTTCATAATATTGACTTAGAAATTAACGTTAAATTGTGAGGAAGCAAATAGTTCATGAAGAATTCCCTTAGCATTTCTCTTTTTGGAGAATCACCCAAAACCTATTAAAAATTGTGAGTTAGTGCACAGTTTTTATTTGAAAAAATTGTATTGCTGAGTTTTGGAAAGCTCTTGCCTATTAAAAAAATGCTAGAAACTATTTTGAAGCGGTTTTATCATTTATCAAGCCACATATGTGCTTTTTTTCTTTAACTTTCAAGTTAGAAAAGAGGAAAATCAATAAAACAAATACGATTTTGTTAAAAAAATAAAAAAAAAAAATTGTGATTCCTGATTTTCTGCAAGATCCTTCGTGATTACTCCATCTTCAACCTTGGATTTGGAACTTTAAGAAGAAATGGGGTTCGGGTAACTTATTTATAGCACATTGGAGGCAACATATATACATTAGCAATTTGAAGTGAAATAACAAGTTTCCAAATACGAAAGTACAAATCTTGGTCGATTGCCTAATCTGAAAGGAATCTGTAAAAGGGATAAAGAATAACTAATTGAGCTTTAAATTAGAATGTCAAGTCTTCTTTTAGCTAGCTAAGATCCTAGCCAGGCTTCAATCTTCATGCTTGAGTTTGATCAGCAACTTCCGGTTAGTTGATTAGGTTGAATGTGATACGTCGTCATCAACTTCTGTATCTTGACCGGAAGAGAAGATGCGGTTGAGGATGGCCGCCAAGCGAACCCCTCCTTGAGCAATCCTCTTCTCCACCACAGGTAGCCGAGGAAGGAAGTAATCCTCTAAAATTTTCAAACACATAATTGGTTAGTTAACAATTTCGTATTGAAATTTGGAAGTGAATGTGTATGTGTAATGTATGTACACTGGTAAAAATGTGATTGGGCGCATATACCTGTAAGAGTATCACCCGCCTCAACGCCCTTGTAAGCCCACTTGCAAGCTATGTTTATACTCTCCGTCGCATACCTATACACGTACATACGTAACAAGGTATTCAACACTAACATCGACCACCAAAATATAAAAGCTGTGTATGTCCGTACGTGCATGTATGTGCTCGGTACGCATGAGACCATGAACGTTGATCAAGGCTTACTTGTTTATACATGAACGTTGATCATCGCAGTGTTTCCATGATGTAACATCATCAGACCAGATTCCCTGTTAGCATAGTTAATAATTCAGTCACATAATTCCATATATCGATCGATCCCTTGTAAGTTAATAAACATTGGTGCTTACATCTGTGATGTTCGCCAGTATGTCTTGCAGGAGGAGTTCCATGTCTTTGTCATAATAGTCCTTCATAGCTTGTTGTATGATCTCCCTATCCCACACCTGCAGAAACAAGAAGTTTCGATTTTTAATAAAGAATGGATGTTCGTTCCATAGCCGGACTACTATTTGGTTGTTCCAACTTCAAGGGCTTACATGGTGAAGATTGGATTTGTGCCTGTACCAACGCAAGGCTATCGTGTTTCCTCCCTCATCTGTCGTGAACCCGACATGCATTGGCTGCCAAAGGACGCACGAAGACGATCATAAAAACTTGGAATTGCCCACGGGTATGTATATTACCTGATGGATATCTCCCATAAAGTGTGACAAGAAAAGCAAGGCCTCAGTCATATTATCTGCAAAGATCAAATACAAAAGAAACTATGATGTTGTCGTGCAATACAAGAAATTAACGATTGACAAACCCTAAAGCAATACAATCAATCGATGCATAAAATAAAACGGGGTTTCTTACATCGACGGTCAGATGTTCCTTCTGTGTAGTGTGAAAGCTGAGAGGTGAAGTTTTGGACGGCACCAGCAACACACATGTTCTTCACGCCATGTTGATCATGACAATCCCCTATTTTTTTCAAAAACCAAACTTTGACTCAACGTTGCTTTCTTGCTAATCAAGCAGTACTAAATACTAATTAGTCAGGGGGAAGCTTACTTGAGTAGTCAAAGGTGCAAGCATTATCTGGAGTGTCAATGAAGTGAAGTGGGCTAGTCCACCGGTATCTGTACCAATGCCTGATCTGATCCGGCCATACACAGAGAGCTGACAAGTCGCCGTCCACGTAGTGAGGTAGTAGATTTTGAACAGCTTCTGCAGCCTCAGGCTCTAGGAGTGCCTGCGGCTTATCACTAGTTAGTGAGAGAGAGGACACTTGAAGGATTAAGCTTTTTTGAAAACTCAAAATCTAGAACTGATCAGCCTTTGCTTGTTTGCTTTTTTGTTTCCCTTTCTTTAGGGCATGTAAAGAATGGGGTAAGTTGGATTATCAAATCAAAAAAAGAAAAAAGAAGAATTAGACGCATAAATTACTTCGAGTAATTGCTTTTACGGTTTTTTCTTTTGGACATAATTTTAACTTGGATTTCGAGGCAACTCATTTCATAGAAATTCTCTTGTGCAGACCCTAATGATGCTCACTGGGTCTGCGTGTCCGGCACCACACATAAGAGACTAGCTCATTTACCTGCGCTATCCGGCACGTCATCATGTGACCCTCTTTGCTCCATCCTTGAGCTCTTGGAACCATAATAATGCAAACAAAAACCAACAACAAAACAAACCAATGAAGGGAAAATCCCCCAAAGCATCTATACTTCTCCATCTTATTATGTTCCTCAATATGTCGACAGTACACATACAGACTACATTTATAGGCCCACCAGAAGGACTTGGTTCCTTATATTACAAGACATCAAAGGTGGTCGATGAGTACAAGTTTGGTCTTCCAACTAAATTAAGTACCTTTAATGTCTTTATTTAACTAAATTAAGTACCCTAAAAGTATTTCTTTAACGCAAGCAAGGTGGAGATGAGGTGGAGCATATTCTGCAGAGGATATTCTGGACATCAGCACCATCGTAGGGATATGCAGAGAATTAGGTTAAATTGCACATCAATACCAATTATTCTGTTCGTCCTTGCAGTTTCATTTTGTTTTTGCTACAGTCCAATCCGTCAAGTTAGGTTTTTTTTTTTTTATCCATTTTATGCAGATCTCATTTTAACAGGATCAAGTAACAAGGAATTTAGCTTATTTGACGGATTGGATTAACGGGCTAACAAAATGAAACTATAAGGACGGAAGTGAAAATTCGAACAGACTAGATGGACTATTAGGGCTATTTCGCCTAAGACTTGGCTAGTTTGGTACATCTCCATCCTTCCTCTTCATGCATCAGCAATTTGTTTTGCTTGGGAAGAGAAAATACGATTGAGGGTAGCAGCCAGGCGGACCCCACTTTGAGCTAGCCTCTTCTCCACAACAGGTAGCCGAGAGAGGAAGTAATCATCTGATTAACAACAAAATTAGATGAGAATATGCCAGTATCAAAAGATAATGATGATCCACTTCCATGTGATGTGGAGAAAAAATGGATTAAAGAAGCCAGAAATGTGATTATATAAACATTTGTAGGACATGCAATTATGCAGGTAGGTTGTCCTTGCTGCAATATTCAACAATTCGAAAAGAGCTTACACGCAACTGGACATGCAATTATGGTGATGGTATTCCAAGTCAATCATGCACTGTCATGCGGGAAAGTCTAGACACATGATGGGGCGTGATAGGCTTGAAATATTGCCACAACAACACTGCAGGTGTAGTTTTTTTCTCTATTTTCACACCAATAACTCCACATATGTTATCTAGTTTTCCCTTCCCAAGGAGAGACTTAAAAAGCTATGTGAAAGTTGAAAGTTAAAACACATGAATAGTGATATTGAATATTGATCAGGGATGCCATGGACCATGGTGCCAACCCGAAGGTTCCCCCTTCCCAATTGAGTAAACGAAACTTACAATGGGAATCTGTTTGGTGCTAAATCCAAACCTAATGCTGCTTACAAGGCCTTGTTATGAAAGAGAAAACATTTACCAGAAAAGAGAACATACCAGTCAGTGTGCTTCCAGGCGTGGCATTTCTGTAAGCATATTTGCATGCCAAACTAATGCTTTCAGAGGCATGCCTGCATGACCAAAAACAAGTCAAATCATAGCTAAATATGATGTATCGAGCATTAAAGAAACTAAGAGAACATTTACATACTCGTTCGGACATACAGTCTGATTATTTGCACAAATCTTCCATGACGGTATAACATTGAACCAACCATCCTACAAATAGTAATATACAGATAAACAGAAAGAAGAATATAAGTATCGCATTGCAGCAGATGATGTGTTCTATTTGTGAGGACAAAAAGCAGAAGAAACTAACAAACTAAAACGACAACAAAAGATGAACTTCATACTGTAATATTCCTTTCAATGGCCTTTATCATGATTGCAAGATCCTTACTGTAGTAAGTCTTTACAGCAGATTCAATGATCATATTATCCCAGACCTGCAATAACACCATTTTCACAGGATCAAACTACATGCTGCTCATAAAATGACATCAACAACACATAAGCCATCTTTTCTCATTGCAAAGTCTATCTGATCGTTGTCTCAACAATCATTCTCGTAAAAACATAAAGCCAGAAAACAGGTGGAGATTTAAGGCTTACATGGTGGAGGTTCGTCTTCCTGCGATACCATCGGACTATTATTGTGTTCCCACCTTCATCTCCAGTGAAGCCAACATGTAGGGGCTGTCACAGCAAAAGATGAATTTTCTAAGAAAAATAAAAGGGATATTTTCTCGTACAAAATTTTGCAAAAAATCTGTAAACCTCTAGTCTAAACCATTCAAATAATGTGTTTCATTAATTTACACCGATTCATTTGGATAAACTCTACAATGTGGATGGAAAAATCATATACATACTGAAATTAAAAATATTTAATGAAAAAAAAATGTAATATTTGTTTTCCAAGAAAACTTTCAAGTAGTATGCCATTGCACTGTTTGCCTTTTAAGTAAGACAGTAAAAGCTTTTATGTATCAGTACAAAGAACAAACCTGATGGACATCCCCAATAAAATGAGACAAGAACATAAGTGCCTCTGTTAAGTTGTCTGTAAATAGAAAAAGGAGGAGGAAATTGGTAATTACTAATACAAACAGTTATATGTTAGAACACAAGTTATATAATAATATAATATGGCCGCTCACATCCTGATGCTGAGATGGACTCATGGTAACCCGAAGAGAGTTGCATCGAATAGTTGTAAATCGCTGCAGTGACACATCTATCTTTATGTCCAGCAGAGTCATGGCAGTCTCCTATTCAAGACGGGCAATTATCTTTTATTTTCAGATTGAACTTAAACTTCACAATCACTGATCCGTGATCACACACACACACAGTATACAACAGCACGCAAAAGCTACTGAATTAATCACACAGGCCAAAGTATTCCATATTAAAGAATCTCACGTTCATATACTTAGAGAAACATTCATAAAACGTAAACCATACTACATTAAAAACTAGCACCAGTATACCATCGAAAATTAGCAACTTACTGCAGTATTTGTAGTTACACTTAAAATCCGGTGTGTCAACATAGTGCAAGGGACTACTCCATCGCCAATGGTAGCTATAACGAATCTCGTCAGGCCAGGAGCAAACTTCTGCAAGATCACCTTTGGCAGACGCTGGTAGCAACTCTTTCACCGCAGCGAGAGCCTCTTCACTCAGAAATCCCTGGACAAAAGAAAGGCAAGAAACCGATTGAGCATCATCCAAATTAAGCATGTAGCAATTTTCATACCAAATTACCAATCATATCAATCCAGTAATTTCTCCATACAGCTATTCACATTGATCAATCCAAATCTTGTAGTATCCAACATATTTACAAAATACCAGAGCAAAAAACTTGCACCTTTTCCAGATATAAATTTTCATAAATTTCCCAGGACCTATCACACAGCCTAAATTATTGAAAAATCAAAGAAAAATACAAAAGTAACTGAATTTTTAAATTTATGGCCAAAATTAAGCTCCTAATTTCATAAATTTCAGTTTTTTCTATAGCAAATTACAAATATAGCCAAAAAAAAAAAACTCAGCCAAAATCCCAGTGTTTTAGCACAAAACTCACCTCTGCAATCTTGCAAATTGTGTAGTGGCCTTCTTTGCCCCAACCCAGAATTCCTGGCACCAATAGCAGAGACCCAAGCACCCTCCAAATCCACCAAAACCCAGTCCCACCCATCACTGTCACAGCAGAATTAAGCTAGAAAGAATCCAAATTTCCCGAGAAAATCAGTACCTTGAGTTTAACCCACTGTTTGGCTGCTGAGAAAATGTGAGGCCCAGAACTCTGGTCGGATTTGAATTGGAGCTGTGACAGTGTGACTGCTGGTTCTATTTTCTCAGAAACCAAGCAAAGGGGAAAAAGAACCAACCATCACAGCCCGACATGTCGTTTCCTCATTGGTCCCTCAAAAACTGCGCCACGGCACGTCGTTTGCCCCACGGCATGTCGTTTGTGCCACCGCTTAGTTTAACCTTCTTCTGTTGCGAACATGTCAGAGTCCTGCCGTCAGTGAGAAGCTCAAAGTCGAAGCTTCAATGAAGGCCGTAGTGATAACGTCTCCAGGTGGGCCCGACGTCCTGAAGCTCCAGGAAGTCGAGGACCCACAGCTCAAAGACGATGAAGTTCTGATCAAAGTCGCCGCCACGGCGGTGAACCAGACCGACACGATTCAGAGGAAGGGGGCGTATCCGCCGCCTCCGGGTTCCAGCCCCTACCTGGGACTCGAGTGTTCTGGAACCATCGAGGCCGTCGGGAAACACGTGTCGCGCTGGCAAGCCGGTGATCGGGTAATTTGAAATTTGGATTTTTGTTTTCGATGTGTTTGGTTGGTGAGAAAATGGTGGGAAAGTAGAAGGAAAATAGGTGTTTGGTCATTTGGGTGTATGCATATATTGAATGAAAGAAATTTGAGAAGGTGGTCCGCTCTTACAAAATTGAGCTTTTTCTACAGGTATGTGTTAGGCTTGAAATTTGTCAGGGCAGTGTGCCCGCCGCTTTGCGCCCAAGTTCAAACTCTTCGTAGATTATAGTAGTTTATGATATCGTCGTTGTCAAAAGAATCCGGATTTTAACATTCAGTTCACTTAGGGATGTATTCAATTGGAAATTTGAGGGATTTTAATTCTTTTAATGAATTTAGGAGATATTCATTCAGAATTTTAAGTGACCATCTGAAATTATAGGTGTGTTCAATTAGAATTTTAAGATAGTTTATTAAAATCTTTAGAAATCCAGATGTATTCAATTAAGATTTTAAAGAAGTTTGTAATATTTAAGGTGTATTCAATTAGAAATTGATTTTCAAGTATTTGAGAAAGTTGAGGAATTAGAGGGGCTTGGAGAGATTTCGTAATGTATTTTAAGCATCCACAAATCTTACCTCTCCTCGTGAGATTTCGAGAGAATTGAATCAAAATTTTATATGGAATCTCTACAAATCAATTAAACTCCATAAAAATCTATGGATTTATAAATTCATTAAAGTCTCTTAAATTCTCAATTGAGTACACCCTCTTGACAAGCTGAAACTAAAATGAAAAATGAATCATGTAAGGAAGTTAAATTGGGGTGATCACTGTTTGAATTTGCTTGAGTTTTACTTTCTATATATAGGACAAGGTAATGGATTGATATCCTAAGTTTGCCCATCAAAACTTTTTGGGGCAATGAGTTAAGTCTTGCAAAACTGGAAAAGGAAGCGGTTTTCGCTTTAGCTTGTTCATGGTGCAGGTCGCAGTTGCATATAGTGTTTGGCTTAAGAAGCATTGGAATGGTTGGAGTTCTTAACATGAGAGAATGGTCGGGAAATGAATTGTATCGCGGGAGGAGCAGGAGACACCCCGTATGAACTTAGTTTTAGACCTAAGATATGCGTCTTTAGCGTTTCACTGTATTTTGCTCCACTCTGGCAGTGAAATAGGATTTGAGTCTTTGTTTTCCCTCAAAGGGTTTATTGATTCAAGTATAGAGATGATGGATGTAGTGTACTTGAACAGGTCCTGTGCTGTGCAGGTGTGTGCTCTTCTTAGTGGGGGAGGGTATGCTGAGAAGGTGGCTGTACCGGTAGGACAAGTTTTTCCCATCCCACCTGGTATTTCTTTGACGGATGCTGCTAGCTTTCCTGAGGTGGCATGCACTGTTTGGTCGACTGTATTTATGATGAGTCGGCTTTCTGCTGGTGAAACATTTCTGGTAACTTCCAGACCTACTTTAGCATAAGTGATAAAGTCAATTGCTTTCTTCGTCTGTGATGCATCGCTTTATATATCACTGAACGACCTGCTAAAATCTCAGGTTCATGGGGGCTCCAGTGGAATTGGTACATTTGCGATTCAGATAGCCAAATACCAGGGAGTAAGGGTTTTTGTCACAGCGGGTAAGCCAGCGATTTTTCTTTTTCTTTTTATTTTTTTATGGCAAAAAATCAGTTTTTCATGTTTATTGATATAAATCTTGATCTCCAGGAAATGAGGAAAAGTTAGCCGTTTGCAAGAATCTTGGAGCCGACGTATGCATCAATTACAAGACAGAGGACTTTGTTGCACGGGTGAAAGAAGAAACAGGCGGCAAAGGTTTGGTCACTTGCATCAACACCCCATTAGTCATCCCCAAAAATAGATTACCGTACCTTTTAATTTTTATTTAGTGGTACTATGGGATAAGAGAAAAACATATTGGTATACAACAATGGCAGGTGTTGATGTTATCTTGGATAGCATTGGGGCAGACTATTTTCGGCGGAACCTGGACAGCTTAAACTTTGATGGGAGGCTTTTTGTTGTTGGGCTCATGAGTGGTCCTGTTACAGAATTAGACCTTCGTGCTGTGCTTTCGAGGCGTCTCACCATCCAAGGTAGTAGAATTTATACTGGGTCTTAGTAACATGGTTTGGGCATTCGAGTTTGGGTTTTTCTCATTGAAGATGTTGACGTAGTTTAAGTGATATGCTTTCAATCAAGTACTGATTTTTCCGGTTATTAGTGACATTGTTCTCCTCGCATTTGCAAAAAGCTTTTGTGCATTGTGTAATCTAATAATTTGTGTTAGTTGCATCCTTATATTATATGGTTGGTTGTGCATGCAGCTGCTGGCTTGCGATACAGAAGTCCCGAGAACAAAGCGGAAATTGTTAGGGAGGTGGAGAACAATGTGTGGCCAGCAATTGTTGCTGGCAAGGTGAAAACTGTGATATACAAGTCTTTTCCGTTATCTGAAGCAGCGGAAGCTCACCGGCTCATGGAAAGTAGCCAGCATATCGGAAAGATACTGCTCGTTGTGTGATTATTGCAATTAAGTGTGATCAAGCGAACAATACAGTTTACACCTCGTGATGTCGGGTCTAGAATAACGCTGGCTGCGCATATGTGGTATCGCAATGCTTTTGTCGAAAACATGTATCATGAGAATAAATTACAAAAAGAGGATCATTCAGTTTCCAATTTTCGTACAAAAGACATGCCATTTGAACATGTACATAACGAATACTATACGTATGTAGAGATGGATCATGAGATTCAGACCAATTAGAGGGATGGCGCTGATGGCGGGCAGGCGGCTAATATAGCAGTCGAATTATTTGAATAACGTCTTGTTTTTCATCATGTTAGTTTCGATCAATCATGGGTTTTCTGTGTTATTCTTTTCTGTGTGAATTGTCAGTTGTTTGAGAAAACTGATAATGATGATCCACTTCCATGTGATGTGGAGAAAAAATGGACTAACGAAGCCAGAAACGTGATTATACAAACATTTGTAGGACATGCAATTATGCAGGTAGGTTGTCTTTGCTGCAATATTCAACAATTCGAAAAGAGCTTACATGCAACTGGACATGCAATTATGGTGATGGTATTCCAAGTCAATCATGCACTGTCATGCAAGAAAGTCTAGACACATGATGGGTCGTGACAGGCTTGAAATATTGCCACAACAATGCTGCAGGTGTAGTTTTTTTCACCATTTTTACACCAATAACTCCACATATGTTATCTAATTTTCCCTTCCCAAGGAGAGACGTAAAAAGCTATGTGAAAGTTAAAACACATGAATAGTGATATTGTATATTGGTCCGGGATGCCATGGACCATGGTGCCAACCCGAGGGTTCCCCCTTCCCAATTGAGTAAACGAAACTTACAATGGGAATCTGTTTGGTGCTAAATCCAAACCTAACACTGCTTACAAGGCTTTGTTATGAAAGAGAAAACATACCTGTCAGTGTGCTTCCAGGCGTGGCATTTCTGTAAGCATTTTTGCATGCCAAACTAATGCTTTCAGAGGCATGCCTGCATGACCAAAAACAAGTCAAATCATATCTAAATATGATGTATCGAGCATTAAAGAAACTAAGAGAACATTTACATACTCGTTTGGACATACAGTCTGATTATTTGCACAAATCTTCCATGACGGTATAACATTGAACCAACCATCCTACAAATAGTAATATACAGATAAACAGAAAGGAGAATATAAGTATCGCATTGCAGCAGATGATGTGTACTATTTGTGAGGACAAGAAGCAGAAGAAACTAACAAACTAAAACGACAACAAAAGATGAACATCATACTGTAATATTCCTTTCAATGGCCTTTATCATGATTGCAAGATCCTTACTGTAGTAAGTCTTTACAGCAGATTCAATGACCATATTATCCCAGACCTGCAATAACACCATTTTCACAGGATCAAACTACATGCTGCTCATAAAATGACATCAACAACACATAAGCCATCTTTTCTCATTGCAAAGTCTATCTGATCGTTGTCTCACCAATCATTCTCGTAAAAACATAAAGCCAGAAAACAGGTGGAGATTTAAGGCTTACATGGTGGAGGTTCGTCTTCCTGCAATACCATCGGACTATTATTGTGTTCCCGCCTTCATCTCCAGTGAAGCCAACATGTAGGGGCTGTCACAGCAAAAGATGAATTTTCTAAGAAAAATAAAAGGGATATTTTCTCATACAAAATTTTGCAAAAAATCTATAAACCTCTAGTCTAAACCATTCAAATAATGTGTTTCATTAATTTACACCGATTCATTCGGATAAACTCTACACTGTGGATGGAAAAATCATATACATACAGAAATTACAAATATTTAATGAAAAAAAATGTAATATTTGTTTTCCAAGAAAACTTTCAAGTAGTATGCCATCGTACTGCTTGCCTTTTAAGTAAGACGGTAAAAGCTTTTATGTATCAGTACAAAGAACAAACCTGATGGACATCCCCAATAAATGAGACAAGAACATAAGTGCCTCTGTTAAGTTGTCAGTAAATAGAAAAAGGAGGAGGAATTTGGTAATTACTAATACAAACAGTTATA